TCATTAAGAGAAGTTTACTTTCTACCTCGTGCGTATTCTTAAAACTGACTTCGACCGCGTGAAGTATCTCCACAAAATTGCGGTGATATTTCACACTCTTGCTTTTCAATCTGAACAAACTACTCTGAAAAAGAAGAAACTTCAAAAGACAAACTTAAGAATATATTTTCTATATGCTTTCTATGAGTAGCATTATATGTATAATAAATATGTATAATAAACATTTGTATAATAAATTATATGTGCTCAAAACATTTTTCTAATTTGTTAGAATTTTATTTAAAATTATTTTTGTAATAATTACTACTGTAATAAACACTCGAATATACTAATTAGAATTATGATTGTGCGTGTCTCGATATTAATTGAACGCAATGTCTAATCTTGTCAGAGAAATATACGATTTATTAATAAATGACATAAAAATTTTACGAAAAGACGTTATACACATCTTTTCTTATTTGAATTACATTCGATCTGATAATTTATCCCTGTACTTTTTATCCAAAGATAATAAATAATTCATGTTTAATTTAATGATACACGTAAAACATAATGCAAGATTATTCTAATTTATGTTAACATTGAAGAAATAATTATTGTTCATAAATATTGCACTGAAACATACAATTCGCGTTCTCTATCAATTTGTTCACATCAAATAAATAAAACATACGGAACACACTGTCGTCTCGTGCGATATGCTTATAAATCGTTAATCATAGGAATTATCATGCCAGCTGATAATTGCTATTTGTAAAATATGATTGCGTTGTGAGGAATAATAAGCGGAGCAATTTGCATTAAGTGTTAACCAGTTCCGAAATATTTAACTAAAAACACTGAATATTATAATTTTATATTTTAAATTAATTTTAATTAAATACGTTCTATTATATATATGTACTTTTTTATATTTCATGATATAATATTAATAAGTAAAAAAAAAATATCAGATCAAATTATTATAAAATATAGAATATTAATTATATAATAATATATATATATAATAGCAAAGATCTATCCGTTAATGTTATTTCTTATTTAATATTTTTCTCAATTTGTGGTTTACGCTATTTTCTCTTTTTTCACAACAACAATAAGCTGCGAAATACATTTAAAAAGCGTCTGGCGTCGTTTCAAATAAAATTGTGTTGACAAAATCGCATTTTTCCCTCTGGCATTTAACGTATCGAATATGAGAGCATATAAACTTTTTAACTGTAATTCTTTTTGGTCTAGTAAAATACTTTTACACTCGAATTTCAAAATAATGCATTTTCGAATAGCGTAAGATAATATGTACCATTATTATTACGGCATCACGATATAACGGTATAACGTTAGCTCTCTTCCATATTTACCTTTAAAATCAAAAGCTTTTATCTTCAAAATTATAAATAATTGTATTCTAATCTTCAATAAATAGTAGCCTAAAATTAGTAGCATTGATAATATTATTAGGAAATAGATTATTCTTTACATTGACTTTAATTATTGACATTGAATTAGATAAATAGCTTAAAAGTATTTTTAAAAGTATTTTTTCGAAATTGGAGTCACTTTCGATTAATTGTTATAAAGATTTAAAGAATTTTTCAAAAAAAGTTCACTTAACGGCAATAATAATAAAGTTTTGCCGTGAAAAAAATTGTAGGCGCTTGGTGTCGTTTGGTACCGGTCTGAAGTCACCGGGCTTTCTGCTTCCGACTGCGGATACATTGCGACATAGAATAGGGGGGTGGTTGGTGTAGGAGCTCTCTCGCGGCTGCGGAGAAGAGGGCAGAGGACCATAGAGCGAGGTGGTGGTTGGTTAGTCGTTCGGGGCTCGAAAAGGGGTATGATGCGCGCCGCGACGCATCGCTGCGGCGAGGCTAGAGTGAGACAGAGAAGTTTTTCGCCCCGCAACCACAGCATCCCCCATCATCCGTTCCCCCGTTTCCTCACCTTCCGTTTCTCTCTCCCTTTCTCTTTCACTCACCCCCCCCCCTTTTCCTTCTACTTTCCTTCTACGATTAACTATTCTCTTCTTTCGTTTCGGCTCCTTGTTTCTCTTTCGATTTCCCGCGTTCCTCCCTCGCGCCCCTCTTCACCCCTTACAGCTGTTTTCGTTGCTTTCGCACCTAGATCTCTCTCCATCTCGTACGCGCGTAGAGATATGCGTCTCTCCGTCTCTCTCTCTCCTCTCATTCTCCATTTCACCTCACTCGGTCCAGTACAGCGTCGGAGCGTGCACGGAACGGTTCGTCGCGCGTCTACCCCGCATGTACGGGCACGCACGTTGGTCACGCGTGTACGCCGGTGCCCCTTGCAATTCACGATTCAAGAAATATAACACGAAAATATAATAACGGAAATTTGTGTTCGCTAGTAAAACGATCGATAGAGGAGTTCGCGCTGCTTCGGAAGGGAACTCTCGAAAGGCCGAATCCACGTGGTACATTTATAGATTAAACGCCAGCAGGAGAGAGAGATACTCTCGCGGCGTTTATCCGCACGAGAATTTATCCGCTCCAGGACCACGAAAACCTCCTTGCAATTAATCTAGCCTAGGTTCCTTTAAAGAATTCAAAGATACTTCGGAGAAGCTGATAAAGGATCTACAAAATATACAGAAACGTCAAAGCGAAATTTTTCTAAAGTTAGCGAGTTTTCTAAAACTCGATGATAATTACAAGATCCAAGAAAAAAATCTTCTTATCAAACACGTAAGTTTTTCTGGAAATAATCTTATCTCTGAATATGTCTATCGTTTTTTTGAAGAATTTGAAAATATTCAAAAAGAATTTAAAGAACAACGAATTAATATGCGGAACAGATTACAAAAGGAAAAGAAAGCGTGGATTGCTTCAGTTGGCTAAGTAAAATAGAAAAGAGGAATTGTTGAGATTTTAATATCTTTGAAACTGAATGAAATTTCTCTGATTAACTAGATTACGAAACTAAACTTTTTCCATATGAATTCTGCATAAGAATTTGAAAGAGATGAAATAATAAGATGCTATTTGAAATAAGCCAACATGTTGGCTATAAGATTTTATATATATATATATATATATATATATATATATATATGTGTGTAAGATTATTGTGTTAATTTATAACATTTCCATATTAATAGAACTATATTTTTCATGGAAATAGAATTTTTTTAAAATTAATCTTCTAGATTAAGTCAAATTATTTTTTAAATAATATTAATACAGATAATCGTAATAAACATCAATCATTTTCCTTATCGAAAAAAAATTTGCCACATTTATATTAATATTCTGCAAACCACGATTAAATTGTTCACCATGCCAACAGAAAAAGCAAGTAATTGAGATAGATGCAACTGCACTGATATCAATTACAATATTGATACTAGGACAGATGTGTGAAATGTGTATTGTATATACAAAATGCAATATAAAACTTGTATATAAAACGTGATCGTAAAGTGACAACGAGTCGATGACATTTTACTCATTAGCAGACTTTAGTTAAAGACTTTAGTTTCAATTAAAAGATATTCATGATAAATTATAGATAGATATAGTAATTATAGTAGTTTACTTTAAATTTAGCCATTTATTAATTTTATTTATTAAATTTAATCCTCAACTGCCTAATCAAACACACGGATCAGCAATAATAAAATATCGTATTCAATAAAAGATGTTTACGTATATAAGATAGGAAATAAAAATATGATAAAACTCCTAATACATATTAACTAAAAAGATCTTTTAGAAATCTCTTATAAGTCGAGTATCACTTGTATACAACGACTTTTAAAATTACCAATTTCACGCAACTACTTTTATAGTTTTTGGATATCAGTTTATCTTATATTCAATTCGTGTTTTGCATTTTCGTATTCACTAAAAAATAAAATATAACAACTAAGCTTATCGGTTTCGTTCAATAGATTTCAAAATGAATCAGTTATTTTATAATTCATTGAGTGTTTAAAAAAAAAGTTGTTATATATAATAAATATTGTAAAAAAAATATATAAATTATTATATTTTTATTACACACATAAAAATCTAATTACAGAAAGAAAAATTATGCAATAAATATTTAATTTTTTAAATAAAATTATTTGCAAATTTACAAACATTCGGATTAACTTCTTCAGATTTAAAAAAAAAGTAAATTATCATAAATCAAATATTATAAATTAGATCATGCATATTTTTAAGAAAAATAGGAAGACTTGTAAATAAATCTCACTCACTAATATTGTAAATTTATTTCATGAGTGGATATCTTTGTTTATTTTGAATTTGCAAAACTTCGTAATTTCTCTAAACAAATTTTCAATTTGTCGATCATTTTTAGTTCGTCATTCTAATCAAAAAGCGAATATAACTAATTTGATATAAAAATCTGTGCATTTTTTTACGCAAGACAAATATAGCAAAACATTGGTCGTCTACGTCGTGACGGAAAACAGCAAAACACGAACAAGAAAGGAAGAGGCACAAGCGACATCAGCCAATTATTTATTTCAGCGCTAATTAAGCGACGACGTGTTCACCAGGCTTTAAAGCAGAGAGGCAGGCATTGCTAATTGGCATCGGAATGGTGCCCAGGTGTTAATTAATAGTTAATTCGCTAGTGTGGCTCGATCAAGCGATGCAACGTTTCGTAGACGGTCGTAGCAGGATGCAATCGTGCGTGACTACCTCCGGATAATCATCCTCCTATCATCCGTCGACGATAAGAAGCTCCAAGTCAAGTGCACCTTAGAGGCCGGCGTGCCCGCGACCTTCGTTAACGATAATCCGTACGACCTTTCTACTCTTCTATGATAAGCTCCTGCAATACGTGACCAAATTTGCCACGATGACCAGCGGACAGAGGAACAGGTCCGTTGTACATCCCGAACAACGGTATGGCTATATGCCGTGCCCGCTATACGACACAGGTGAGCGCATTCTATAATCGATATCACTTAGTCTTTGATCGTTTCATCTCTCCGTTTCACCCTTTAATATTAAAATTGCTGCGCTCTGTATAACTAGGTATAATCATGTACAGATAAGATATATTCAATATTGAATAAGTTTTAAAAATTACTCTACTAACTTTACGAGTCTCGAGCGATTTCTCTAGATAGTTTTAGATTCACGTTTATTGTATGTTTAGATGTCGTTAGATTTTTGCATTTTCTCTCGTATTTTTACCCCCCTACGTATACAGAGTTGTGCAATGCTTGTTTATAATTGAATGGAAGCGATATCATATTTAATTACGTGATGCAATCAATAACGATTAGCATTAGCAAACTAAAACTAGGTGCTCGTGATCAATCTTCGATGTATACGTTTCTGCGAGATTCGATATACATAGGATGACATAACCAATATAGTTTCGAGTTGCATAGCAACTTTGAAATATCAGTGTATAAGTTGATATAAGCATGTTTTTAATTTCAATGAAAATATATAAGATAAATATCAATTCTTACATGTTATTAAATATCTCATATCAAAATGTATAAACAATTATTTAATAAGAATATTAGTTATAATAAGAATAAGAATAAGAATAAGAATAAGAAGTTATAATAAGAATATTAATAAGAATATTAGTTATAATATGTGCAATATAAAATAAATAATAATAAATGATTAAAATAATAATAATAAAATGATAAATAACAACTCCAATCGTTTAATTTAGAGTAAATCAAGCTTTACGTAAAAGAAAATCAATTATTCATACACAAATAATTAAAAAGACTTATCAGTTATAACGAATCTTTTAATGTTTATATTTCACTAATTAATTTGTCATCGAGTACGCAATTTTGTATTAATTTCAACATCCTCTAAACATTATTAACATTAATAACAGCAATCAGCAAGAAGAAATTCTAATATATGTTGTTTTATCCATTATTATATTTATAATTTAATATTACGATATTGTCACGATATTTTGATTTTTATGATTCAAATTTTTCATGACTATAGTTTTTAACTTTTATTCCTTCTAAAGTTACATAAAATGTTACATAAAAGTTACATAAAATTGTAACAGAATTTCATTCAATATCCTATATATTAAATTTACGTGTTCCATCTTTAGTAGCACGCATATTCTGTTTCAGAATTGGGAAATTTAACTTCATATTTTACAGGGACAGCGTTGTGTCTCGCCAATTCTCAAAAGTTCTGTATGCATTCTGATATGTCGGTTGCACATTAGTATTCCTGATTTTTTCACACGCGACTGTACTATGTAATTTCGCTAAAACTCTTGTATTTCACGCGTACTTTTTGCGCGATAAGATTTATAGCATACCGTGGAATGGAACACGTTAACCGGAGTCCCACCAGTGTTCCTGGATTAATTGCACTTTCTGTTTGTAACATCGTTACACCGTAATGGAGAATGACGTAGAGGATAAACTCTTAATCTTTGCGCTAATATAAATTTGCACATTATTTTCAAAGATAATTGTTAAAAGAATAAAGTTCAACATATCTAGTTAGGTCAAAATTGGTAAAGTATAAAACTTCAATTTTTAAAATACTAGATATTGTAGTTTTTTTAGTAATAAGAAGTTTATGTTTTTTCTAATGTACTTACAAGTAAAAAATGTTACGTAAATATTCAATTTGTTCTTATTAAAAAATAATATCGGATTACGCATTATGCTGCATTTTCTAAATTGTATATAAAATCTGATTCAATGAGACATAGATATCTGTTATTTGGCGCAAAAATATTAAATGTCATTAAATGAAATAATTAGACTATAAAATAATATCTTATAATTTTAGCATCTATAGATGTAATTAAATAACGCTACGGCAGAAATTTTAATTTCTATATTGTGTAATATATATAATCATTATATAATCATTATTAATATTTTTATTTCTGTGTATAATTTATTTAAAATACATAATAAATAATCATAGCCGTCCTTTATATAACAGATCGTTAATTAAAGCTGAAGTTTCTATCGTCTCTGCGAAGTTTTAATTTTTTCAAAATTTCGAAACTGCGTCAGGATAACGTGTCCTAATTTCAAATTGTATTACTATGTATATGATAGAAGATAACATAAAATTCAAAATGTGTTGACAGTTCTGTCATAGAATGAAGTTTGGGGGACAAGCATAATTGCGTTGCTAAATAATGCTCTGTGATCCCCAGAGCTTTTTATGTGCGAATAAATTATCACACCTCGCCAGGTGTGACATGTTTACCTCAAACATGCAGAATTTTGCGAACCTCAGTCCGTTTGTCCCGACACATGTTGTCCGTGAATAAAAAACTTCGCTTAGATAGCAATAAGTACGATCTAATTAGCATGTGCAAAGTTATAACGATTGTTAATTCTCATCGTAGCAATTAATACTATCTCAATCAATTTACTAATATTATTCTTCTGCATATTCAGTAATTATTACTACCAGCTTTATAGCTATTTATATATATTATATATTCTTTTTTATGAAAATGAATATACATTAAGCTTGAATATTCTTTTATATTGGATTTTTATAATAAATTTGACAAACATCAATTTTTATATAATTAAATCCGTTTTTCTAAATAGCCTTTAATTTGAATGATTCTTGTAGACTAATATTAAATAGATAGGCGGATAGCTGTCTGAGATAGTAATTTAGCGAAACGGGTAATGACTATCAAGGGATACACACGTGAAGTCTATGGAAACTTATCGCGGCTTGCATAATATTCACATCGTGTTTGCAAATTTAAGCAAAAGCAATGAGAACTTTCACTCAACTAAAACTAATATATGAATAGTATACACTATCAATCATCTAAATTACCCGCAAATTTAAACTGTGTGCAACGTAATAAGAGTCCTTTCCTAAATCATACGTCGTGGTGATAAAGCAATGGTTAACAAGATTTCTACCGCACTTCAACTTAGATTTCATACATACATTAACCAAATTTCGTTCATGCATTTAAGATCGAGATCTGCGGTAAAGCTGGCGAAATTCGCGGGTTTCATTGAAATACAGTCCTCACGCATAAATTTTCAATATATTCCCCAACATCTGGAGAATAATGCTTTATGTATTATGTATATTATGTATTACGTACATTATATCACTGCAGTCTAGACACACTCGATTGCTTTCTGGCACACTGTTTTACATATTACAATACTAGATTTCATTAATTTACAATCATTAAGAAAATTATCAAAATATATGTTTAATTATATATATGATTATATTTAAATATTTAATCATAGTTGAACAATTTTCCAAAGTGTATTTCTTTCTAATCAAATAAAAGAAAAAATCAATATCACCACAATTAAGTATATAAATAGCTATAAATATAAAATATAAAGAATATAAAATTAATTTTTAGAGCAGAAAATAATTCGGCAATTAAAATTAAAATAAAAAAAGAAAAATAAATTTATTCAGTTTGTTTTAAGCAAGAGCGAGCGTCTTTGGGCTAGACATAACGAAAATAGAATGTAATTGAAGCGCGGCATTGCGTATTAGCCGTGACGAATTTGTCTGAAGGTCATAACACAGAACTTAAAATCTGCAGATTAGAATAAAAAATTAGAGTAAAAAAACGCGCGATGTTTTTTAGCTCAATGCTCTCACATCGATCAATGATCTCACATCAGAGTGAAATAAACTTGTGGTCGATCGCAAATCAGATCGTGCGAGACGATATAAAATATCATCAAGGTTATTTTAACCTTTGGATTAAATAGACTTGACTATATGGCGACACTTAATTCTCTATTCTATAATTTCTAAATATTTCACATTTTATTAACTATTTGCGATAATTTTGCTATTATTCGTTTATATATTATTATTCACTTATATTATAAAAGAATTTTGTAAAAAGATAAAAACGGATGATAGAAAAATTTACTTTGTTAAAATATAATACTGTACTTTCTTATAATAAATAATAACATTTCTGTCTTTTTATAAAAGCTAATTCTATCGTTTAATATAACATATCAATACGTTTTGTACACGTATATTTTTCTCTACGTGTATGTTCTTCTTTGCATCTCTGCACATTTATAGAAAATAAATATATCTGATTAATATCGTCTCCTTTTTTATTCTTTGCCATTTGAAATATATCGACATTGTACTCAATATACCGATATCATTCGTGCATAGATGAAACATGGTACATCCTTCCGTGATACTGAAAGTTTGATAAAATTAAATTTCCTCACAAAAACACCCAGAATTCATTTAGAAATGATTTATAGCTCTAGATATCTTTCTAATAAATTTACATAAAAACGGATTGGATAGAGTGCCAAAATATGTTACAGGTGGTTTCATAATGAACTAACGTAAACACGAAATTTAATGAAGAACTGTATTGGTGTGGGAGCATTTAAATCAGAATAAATTAACAAAAAATATGCTGTTTATTGAAAATTAAAATGATTTTTCAAAAATAATAATAGGAATAATAATAGAAAATAAATATATATCTTTCTGTTTTCTTTTTTTAAATTCAACATTAAAGAAATGCTAATTATAGAATTATAATAACTGTATTTGATACATAATAATAATAATTAAATTTATCCAGAAGACGCAATCAAGTAATGGATTCGATCCATCCAATTGCCTTTTCGTCAAGTAATTAATTATAACAACTTTTAGGAATTTCGAAATTACTATATGGACAAGCGCGAGAGATGCTCTTTACTCTTAAACTTAAAATAATAATCTATTGCATTTCCTAAAAATGTTATTTATTCCGTTAGATATAGCAAGTCACAGGATGCCAGGTTTTCATGCAAGGTTACAGAACGCACGCAAGCTGCAACCTAATCGATGTTGTATTCGTATTTTTGAATATGTCGTAATTCGAAAAGCGAGCGCGCACACAACAGTCTTTCAAATTTACTTTCTCGTTTTCAGATCT